GCAATTTATAATCACATGTAGTTAGATGGCTTGATGGTTATGACTTTGATTTTTTTACTGAGGTCCCAAGGTCGAATCCCCTTGGGCATCCCTTTGGGCATGTGTTGCATTCGAATCCCCTTGCGGATGTGTTGCATTTTTGTTGTGTATATAGTGATTGGTATAAATATAAATATTTTTGTTGTATTCGAATCCCCTTGGGCATGTGTTGCATTTTTGTTGTATATATAGTGGTTGGTATAAATATAAATATTTTTGTTGTGTATATAGTGGTTGGTATAAATATAAATATTTTTGTAAATAATATAAATGACATAAAAAAATGAAAAATAAAAAAAATTAATTTTTTATATAACAGTTAATTTTTGTTGTATATAGTGGTATAATTATTTTTGTAAATAATATGAAAGGTATAAAAAAAATAAAAATAAAAAGTTTATTCTATTTGAATCTCCATCTTGCTACTAACAATCTCTTTTACTAAATTTATTATAGAAACCTAAAAAAATAAATTTTTGAAAAATTGAAGTGTTATTTCCAAAATTTGTGCGCATTTTATTAATTTTTACATTGATAACCAAATCTTTTATTTTATTTATGAATTTTTACATTATAAATCATGTAATGTACTATTTTTCTTATAGTTGTCAATAATACATTTTAAATTAGATAATATTATAAAATATTTTTAATTTGTTATTATTTGTCTAATAAAATAATTATAAAATGTAAACTAATAATTATAATTTCAGTATATAATATTATAATTAGTGAGGTTGTAATAATTTTGGATTATAGTTAGTTAGGCTGTAATAGTTTGGGTTTTTTTAGCGGGTTAGGGTTTCGCCAAAACGAGATTTTAATGGCAATTCTTTCATTGATTAGTCGACTCTTTATAATAGTCTATATATAATTATATATTTTATCCATTATAATTCTATGATTTTTCTTTTATGTGATGCAAATTTAATAGTTAAAATAAGTTTATACAGGGAAAGAATATCTCAATATTCACAAATTGATAAAAAAAATGAAATTTAATAATGCAGTGCCTTCATTTTTTATTGGATTCCTAAAAAACAACATTTATAATGAATTTTAATAATTTTTTTGGATTTTTTTGAAGCTTTAATCCGACCGATTCAATCAATTCTCGATCCGGATCGTCGATTCGCCGATCTGGATTGGTTTTTGAGGTGCCCGATCCCGGTCACCGATCCGCTTTTTAAACCATTGCTCTCTCATGATCATTTTGTGGGCATGACTGATGCAGAGAAGTCTTTCCTCTTTGGAGCTACCTAGGGCGGTGCCTGTTGCGAATGTAGCATCTTCAAGCAGCTCCTTGGCTTCAGTTCATTCAGATGATAACTCCAACCAGAGGAGTAATGCAGATTACCATGATAGCAGTTTTTCCCCTACTGAATCTGTTGGTAGACATAGGCAAAAGGTTCGAGACCCAGCTCGTGATCTGTCGATTCAAGTTCTGGAGAAGTTTTCCCTCGTTACGAAGTTTGCCCGTGAAACAACTTCGCATCTCCTCCGTGAAAGTCAAATTTTTGACAACATTGGTGGCTATGAAAAGCAGCAACAAGTACATTCTAGTCCTGTGAAAAATCAAGTTGGTGGAGATCCTGTCTCGCAAGAACTGCAAGATAAGAACCAAATTATTTCTGATCCTTTGGAGGTTAGCTTTTCCATCCTCCCTCCATATGTTTGAAAATGCTATCTAATAGAAACTTCTGACTTGTGGTGTATCTGATATTTTTACAAAAGCCTACCATATTCAAAGAGTGGGGATGTTTCACGTTGTTTATGTCTCTAAAGAAAATATACTCCAGAGGGAAATAAAACATGGTTTTTTTTTTTTTTATTTCTTTAAACTTTATCTGTCACATTTTTTAAGTTGACCTGTCAATGATGTATTTCTTGCCACGGCTAGAATTTTTGACATATTTGTATTCAGATTGTTATTTTGTTTCTTATCATTATTACTATTTTTTGAGCCTAAAGAGTCCCAATAGCATTTATATATCCATAATATGTAATATGGCCAGTTAGTGGGTCATAGGAATCTTGTTATCAATGTTTTGGTTTTTTGTTCTTGTGATTCTTTCACTTGTTAACATCCGTGTTCTATTGACTTTAAGGTACTTCCTATATTCCTCTTCACTTGGTTCTCATCTGGTCTTCTCCATAATGATTTTGCAGACCATGAACTGTTGTTTCTTTGATTATTTCAATATATTTATATCGTTTATGCAACCATATTAAGGATGTGCTGCTATTAGTAGGATATCGCATGCTAATTTGTGAAAGATTGTTATGGTGGGAAATTGATATGAAATTTGTTGGTGGGAGTTGAAATAAATGGCATAGTTCCCCATGTTCTATTTATTCTTGAGTCGGCAAATGCAAGAGCAGTTATACTCTTTCTGCATAATCTGCAGTTTGTAGGATCTGTGCTATTATGTAAGAAGATGCCCAAAGGTTCATGTTGTGCTCCGAGGTTTCTATATGTTGTTCTCCTCTCTCTAGTGTTTCCCCTTTTCTCGCAAAAAATGTTGGAAATGTTCACACTTCTTTTTTTTTTATTCTCTTTTTTACGACATTAAGGAATTCCAAGTGTTCCTGGGGGCTGTAAGTGCTTTTAGTGCTTGCACTCTAAGCACCTCTTCAAGACGTGTTTCAATATTGTGGCAATTGGCTCTCCTTTGGCAATCTTCAGTTGGTGATTGAATTTGTTGAGCATGCTCTCCTGATAGGTTCTTTTTTTCCCCTTGATGTAAGTGAATGCAGAAGACCATTTCTTGTGAGGTGGATTTCTTGTACCCTAATTCTATGTATGTTATATTAGAACAACTTAAAAGGAAAAAGTGTAATTTTTCGAGCATGCAGAATCCTTCTTACACTATAATCTGGAGAAAACTTTTTGGTGTGGTTTATTAATTCACGACTTGGGCTAATTTTTCTTTTATTTTCTGGGGCTGCAAGTCATTTAATATGCTAATGATTTGGACCGATTTTCTAGCCTTTGTGGTTAGCATTGCTCATCAAGTTACCCTTATACGAAGTCATATTTCAAGTAATCTATGCTTGATATAACATCTAACTGGTCTGGTAAGACCAATTCGCGTGCCAAAACCATCTGATTCGAGACCCCTGTTCTTGTCAAACAGAAAATAGCTTGTAGAAATGGAAAATTGTGTGAAGCAGCAGCTACCCTAGTGGGAACCTTTGAGCTTATCGATAGTAAGGAGGTATATGAAGGAGCTTACTGATATGTACTTTTCATTATTTGATTTACAGTTTTGTCATGCTCTTTGTATTTTACAGAAGTATCTTTAACGTAATTTGCTATGGCTAGAACAGAACTTACATCAGATCCTTCACCATTTTACCATTGAGTCATCAGTATTCAGTATATCTGAAGTGTCAAACTGAATGTTTCTTAATTCTCAGAAGTTTCAATTCTTGATTGGAAATCTCAAGCTCTTAAGAGCCCGATCCTCAACAATGCGCATTACATTCTGGGGAGTTCATGCATCATCCTTTCTCAGTATAGTGTAATTTCTGTAATTTTTATTGAACTTTTTTGTTTCATGATTTTGCAGTGAAATGCTGCATCATAAATATGTGCAAATGGAGTAAGTCAGCTCTTTTCTGAAGACATAAGAAAACTTGACCCCTTCTAACCACACTTTATAGTTTCTTGTCTGCACAAGTTCTGTGATGACTTTACGTGTCATGTGCAGAGTGTATTTGTGAATATTTACTCTTGGTGTTTGTTCTGTGTGCACCTCAAAATTTTGATCATTTGATTCTCTCTGTGGAAAACCTATTTTATAGCTGAGGTGCGGTTCAGTATTGCGATTGTGGTGGCTAACTTTCTGATTTTTTGGAATGAATCTTGGCATCAGTCATCTATGGATTAGAGCCTTAGACCACATTCTTTTAGTTCCAGTCACATGCAGCCTAGTTGACTTAGGTATGGTAATTAGTTGATTGTCCTAGATGATGACATTCTCTAGTTCTTCGTCTAATGGGGTCAAATGTAACTAACTAAAGCATGGCTACCATACCTATCTTCTGAATGTCATTACAGATGTTGCCTGCTGCTGCCCCTTTGTCTCTTACCCCCATTATGTGCATCTTCTGGGAACTCAAGGAAGACGCGTAGAGGGAGGTTGAGGAGCAAAAGTAACATGTAGAAACTGGGTCAATGGTTAGGAATGTGGGGTTTAAAATAAAACTCAAGTCTGTTGTACAATTGCAGGTATTGGGAAGAAACCAGAAGTGCCACAGAAGGGAACCTATATGGAAAGCCATTGGTTTGAGGCATGTCATAAGGGATTGAGAGGCATATTGACCCGTTAATGGTTTAGTGTTTGCAAATAGGAAGGGGTGTGGGTATCGGATGTCTAAGACCAATGAAAAATTTTTGGTTGGGAAATGGCTCTGGTGTTTTCTCCTGGATTCAGACAGCCCTTGAATTAGTTCATTGCCTTGTATATAAGTGTTGACGGTGATTATTGAGGATTTTTGGTATGTCTTTCGGTTATGGGGATATTGCTTGTCGTTTCCTTTTTGGGAACATACTTAGGGTAAAGGATGGGTGTAGAGGTGAGCTTGCCACTAACGAACTAGGAAAAATCATAGTTGTTGGAAACACTTGGGAACCCGTAACGTTTTAGGAACTGGAATCGCAGCTGGCTAGAAGATTCTTGTCTTAGGAAATCTTTGTCGTACAATAGGAATCTCTAGGAACTAGATTCCTAGTTTTTGAGAATCGTGTTTCGACCAAAATAGATCAATGTTTCATCCACATATGGAATCGAGAATTCCGTCATCTTTGGAATCGAGATTCCCATTCCCTTGGAATCAATACTCCATGGGTCAAGATTCATTAATATGCGGAATTGAGTTTCCGACATCTATGAAATCGAGTTTCTGACATCTGTGGAAGAGAGATATGTCGTTGTTTCCAAATGTGATTCTAACAAATGTGATTCTAACACATTTGGAATCAAGTTTCTAAAGTATATGGATAAGAGATCCGTGCCAGTTTGAGATCAAGATTTACAATAATATGGACTATAGAATGCGTTTGATAACCCCTACCAAGAATCGAGATTTCATTTTTATGGAGAAGGAAGCCACAAGCACATCTTCAGCCTCATCACCTTTAGAACCTATATTGGATGTCTCTTATTAGAAAGTTTCCCAAATTTTAAAGTGATTGTGTTGACTATTGAACTTACGGTCATTATATACAAAAGACAAGTATTTCTAAATTGTTATTTTGACTTTATTAAAATAAATACAAAATAGGATTATGTTTACGCCATGGTTTTACTTTTAATTGTATGTGTTGTATTTATCAGCTATATTTTAAATTTAAAGTAAATGCCATCCAGGGTGGTACAAGTAAAATAATGAAACCATGCAACCCCTAGAAGCATTCGAAGGAAGATTTCTACTCCAATTAACGTGGAATCAAGATTTAATCATCACTGGAATCCATATTCGATATATTTGGGAACGTTTACCCACAATTAATGGGTTAAAGTTTCTAAAAATGTGTTGGATCGAGATTCCGAAACTAAGGAATTGAGTTTCCCTGGTGTTGATAAATGGTTTCTAAATGTGTCGAATTGAGATTCCGATGTGTCGAATTGAGTTCCGAAACTAAGGAACTAAGATGTGTCGAATTGAGATTCCGAAATTAAGGAATCAAATTTCCTTGGTTCCGAAAAACGGTTTTCGTGGAAATTCCTTAACGACAACGCGGAATTGGGTTTGGAAACCGGAAATGCGAGGCCGGTGTAGAGATTCCGGTAACTATGGGAAAAATCACCGTCAGTCGAAGTAATAATGTCCCCTAATATTGAATATCTACTTCACATGAATTTGTTTTGCACAAAGATAGTTTGGATTGTAGAGAAATTATCAAAACACCAAAAACTTTGTAATTTTCCCATGACTTTTGCATAACCTAAATGGCCTCTGGTCAGAAAAAAATGATCAATTTTTTTTTAAATTACTCAGGTAAGTTTGGACATTTTTAAGCAAGTAAAAGATCAAAGTTGCTTTGGCTTAAAGTTAACCAAATACCCTTGATTGTGACAAATTGTAGATAATTAGTTTTTGGATTTGCAAAGAATTAAATCATTTTAATTTTTTTAACAGCAATTCCTAGAAAACAAGGACCTATGGAAGATCAATGCATGTGCTCCACTTTTTGTAAAATATTTGGATTCGTGGCTGTAAAACGACATGTCAGATCTTAGTTCAATGTTTCTTCTGTTCTACCACATCACATCTCTTTTTTTTTTTACCACATCAGGCTTATAACAATCTAGTCGCTGCTTGAGTCCCACACATGAGAAGTTTATTCTCCAAGTACATGATCATATTTGTTTCAAAGTATTGAGTCTTTTCTGCAGCTTGAGAGAACCGTAATCCCTAGTCTGTAATGATATTGTTCTCTTATTGTTGTTGATTTTTTGTGCTTGTATATCCTGTTATTATTTTACTTTTTGCTTCTATGTTTTCTTATAAGAGTTGGATCGTGCAGGATGTACTGATCAATTGATAATCACTTGCATGTGTTGAAGTAGCTGTAACCTGGGTCCTGGAGATTTTATTAATTTTTTCCTCTTTAGTTTTGTGTGGGGTATGATTTAATGTTTGGCTTTGAAATTTGTCAACTTTATTTGCCGTGCGGAGGAGAAAATGGCAAGCTGCCTTCAAGTTGCTGTAGACATGTGTTATGACCATATGGGCCTATGTTCTTGACCGACCTCTTTTGCATGAAATGGATGGCCCTGGCTTCTGTGGAGGACCTCATGGTAAGGTGTGTCTCTATTGCGATCCCATTTAGGGGTCAAGTGCTTTGGCCCACTGAGTGGTATGGCCATCATTTGATGTATTTGGAAATAGCAGAATGGTTGTATATCTATGGATCAGATGGTGCACGAGTTGGTCCTCAAGGAGAGGATTATGATTATGGTGATCTAGTGGACTTTGCTTCGATTAAAGTTTTGAATTTTCAAGGCCATTGACATAGTCAAGGATTGAATGATTTTGCTTTGTCTGGTACATCTTTGGCTTCAGCCCAGAACAGTTTGGATTGCTTTGGTGGGGGGCACGATGATGCTACTTTAATGGATGTTCACGAGGTGGTCTAGGACTGGTAGGTATGGGTTGGATTATTTGGTGATGAAGAAAGTGGGAAGCTTAAAAGCTATTCATGCCCACTGAGGACATGAGAGGCTCATGCATTGCTTACAGGTCAATGGATATGTCCTCTTCTGTCTTAGGAATTGTTTAGCTGTAAAAGGAGATGTCTTAATCTCACAAGATGGGCTCGTACAGAGTCTTCTATTCTGTAGAAGATGCATATGATATTTAGTGAGATCTTCAACATTTATGATGCTAATGGTGTGGTATTAGTGCACACTCTTATGGCAGCTAACCAAGGGTTTGATACCCTTTCTGATCTAGGGGTTATTTAAGACTCACTGTATGTTGAAGCAATTTTCAGTGTTGGAATCTTGGGATGTTGTCTTGATATCTCTAGACATTTGTTTTTTGTTTTCAAGTTGCTTCATAATTTTGTTCAAGTAAGAAATTTTTTTGTTGATGATAAAAAAACTATGTGGTTGGTTTGATATTTGTGTTTAACTACATAAGCGGTTTTGCTTGTCTGAATTCTTGGTGAGCTCATCTTGTTGCTTCTTATCTCTACATTTAGTACACTTGACATCCTAATTTCGTGTGAGAGCATTTTAGCCTGTAATTTTTTTGTCAAATACTTTAAGATGTTTGTGAAATTGTGCTCTATATTATATGCTTACATAAATTTATAATGCAGTTGTATGGTTTTGTCTCTTTGTATTTCCTTATGATTTCCATGCTTGCTTTTAATTGCAATGGTTTAATTTGGCAGGCAGAGCAACAATCTCTTGTTTGGGGGAAGCCACGACTCCCTCCTCTTGGACATGAAGAGGTATTTTGCTGTGTGGGTCAAATATATGGACATATGTTTCATCTTGTGTGGAGTCCTTTGGTTGTTCCTCAGTAACATTGTTAAAATTTGTGTTACTTTATTATCATATATAACAGAAATTACATCTGTATTAGCTTTTCTTATATTCTAGAGCATCATCTCCAGATTCTAGGCTATGAACAGCATAACCACTTTTATTGTGGCTGTAGTGACATTGATCCCTGTTTTATGTCTTTTACTGCTTCAGTGTGACATCATGATGCATGTGCATTGTTCTGATTCATGTAGCATGGGGCATGGATTCTTAGAGTTTGCAGCTATTATTGAGTTCTAGATGTTGTGGACTCAGCTGAACTCGTGTTTTTTCCTTAAAACATGAACAATACATTAATGTCTGTTTCAACTACTGAAACCTGATTTTATTAAGGGAAAGGTTTCTATGCTTCCCCTACAGCATAGAAGTTCTATCCTCCCCCTACCATCTGCCGTCCAATTTTGATCAAGAGAGCAACTCACCGTTTGATCCTAGATCCGACGTCTCAAAGTATTTTATTTTGAATATGAAATTTGGTACGTGCCATCTTCTCATTGGGGCGCACCTATAAAAAATGTTAAAAATAATTTTTTGATAAAATATAATGACCAAAATACCTCTTGCAACTTCAGGGGTATTTCGGTCATTTTATTTTATTGAAAATATTTTTTTTATATTTTTCGCTAGTGCGAGTTTAATAGAGGAATGGACATCCAAAATTTGGTGTCACAATAAGTTATAGAAAAAAAAAATAAAAATAAAATAGTGTAGAGACATAACATTGTGATTGGGGCAATCTTAGCCCTCCATTTAGAATGGACAGTTGGATAAGGGGGATGATAGAACTTCTATGCTGTAGGGGAAGCATAGAAAGCTTGCCATTTTATTAATATCTAATTTTTATTTTGATTCTGAACAAGAGCAACCTTTTCTTATGTTCTACATTTCCTTTTTTTTCTGCTTGATTCTAGCAAATGTTTTATCTATTTTAGTTCTGGTTATTCACGTAGGTTTTTAAAAGGGAAAAAAATCAGCTTGTTATTCATTGATTTATGAATTTTTTGAATCTTTGAGAATTATTTGTCTAAAGTTAATGTGATCATAGTTACAGAAAATTTTTATACTAACTCTTGAGTGCTTAATCCAATAAATAGGGCTAGTTCGGGTGTATCCCAAACTAGCTGATTTCTGAATGAGGATCTAGAAACATAGCAAGAAGCGCTTGGAGCAGTTTGGACACCAGGGAGTTTTTGAAGTTTGGATGTTAAATATCTTTTGCATCCAGGACTAAAGCAGCATCGTAAAAAATTTAGTTGAACTTCAGATTGTTTGGATGAGAAGGTTTTCAACTCATTTTTTTGGCCGATAACGTTTCTATATTCTGTCCCCTGCTAACCTCTCTCTACATTCATTGTAGGCAGGTTTTTTGAATTAGAAGGTTTTCAACTCGTTTTTTTGGTCGATAAGGTTTCTAACTTTTCTTTCCCCTGCAAACCTCACATTACATTCATCGTAGGCATTGTTAATGGAGGGAGGGAGGGACCTCACTCTACATTCATCGTAGGAAAACTTTTTGGATGAGGAGGTTTTCAACTCATCTTTTTGGCCTTTAAGGTTTCAAAATTCTCTTTTCCCTCCTAACCTCACTCTACATTTATCATAGGCATTGTGAAGGGAGGGAAGCAAGCTCAAAACAAATGTATCATATAGATAAGACTCAAAACAAATGATTTGGTAACTGTAGAAAAGAAAAGATAGATGGAGTGAGGCTCAAAACAAATGTATCATGTAGATAAGGCTCAAAACAAATGACGGTAACTGTTGAAAAGAAAAAGAGGGAGGGAGGGAGGCTCAAAACAAATGTATCGTGTGTATAAGGCTCAAAACAAATGACTTGGTAACTGTAGAAAAGAAATGGAGAGAGGGAGGGAGGGAGGGAGGGAGGCTCAAAACAGATGTTCTGTATAGAAAATATGAGCTGCTCCTGACTTTTTTTTTGAATCATCCAAATGACTTGATAACTGTAGAAAAGATTAAGAGAGAGGGACGGAGGGAGGTGAAAGCAAATGTATCGTGTAGATAATATGAGCTGCTCCTGATTTTTTTTGGATCGTCCAAATGACTTGGTAACTGTAGAAAAGAAAAAGAAGTTCTTCCAATGTATATTTGAAAACATGCAAGTTTTGTAAATCATCATTGTCCAAGCCTTGTTCCAATTATTTAGGGTTGGCAAGTTTTGTAAATGATAAGCTTTTTTTATTTGAGATCCAAACTTAGCCCTTCTGCTTTTGAATTCCTTTTTACGCGATGCCTCAGTATAATAGAATATTAGACTGCATGTGCCTTTTGCTCTGTGTGTGTGTGCACGTGCGCGTGCGTGTGTGTGTGTGCATGAGTGGGTGTGTGTGTGCGCGTTCTTGAAGGGCTAACTGATCATGTCCATAGGTGCTTTTGCTAAAGGAAGAATAATGTATTAATGCTTTCTTGATTTCATGTCCTTTAATATTCATATTTCCCTTCTTCAGTGGGCTACATTCTTGGATGAAGAAGGGCGTATAGTGGATTCAAAAGCTTTAAGGAAAAGGATTTTCTATGGAGGAGTCGAGCATGGTCTACGGAAAGAGGTGTGTAAGGTCAATCTTGGATTGGTTCTCCCAAATGTGCAGGATTCTAGATGACATTTGTTTCACAACAAGTGTGCTTTGTCTTGTGTCAGGTATGGAAATTCCTACTAGGATACAATGAATTTCATTCCACATATGCTGAACGGGAGTTTCTTGAGACCATGAAGCGCTCAGAATATGAAACCATAAAACACCAATGGCAGGTTTGCATATATTATAGTTATTGCTGCTAATTCAGTTTGTTTGCTTTTATTTGAGAGGAAATTTTAGAAAGTAACGGAATATGCATATAATATCATAATTTTCATGCGTTTAGGCATTCATTTTCATGTAGTCTGCTTTGCAAGTGGCACTGGCTTATTCATGGATAGGCAGTATTCATGGGCATTGAATGCTAGAAATAGGAGATTATGTTCAATCATTTCCTCAAGGGTAATTTAAAATCTTTAGATTCTCATAAAGATGTTGCATTTATTTGGACTTCAAAAATTCTAAGATTTACTCTTGAGTATATGAATTTGGAAATATTGAGGAGAATCAAATGGTGCTCCTGAGGGAGCATATTGTAAACTTGCTCTTGCAGCCAAAACACTTTGGAGGATTTGTTTGACCCCAAAAACTTCCATATCATCTTTATTCATGTCTGGAGAATTTGTTAAAAACTTCCATATCATCTTTATTCGTGTCTGCTATCTAAATGGAAATTCAATCCGTTCCCTAATGATGATCTAAATGAATGTTCACCAAGTGAACATAGAACATATGTGAATTCCAAGAGTTTAAAATCTTTCATTCTTTTGTTTTTTAAAATAATAATTGCCCATCTGGTGAATCACTTTTTGCGAACTTATAGATAAAACAATCCTTCTAAAGGGTTTTCCCTTGAGAGTATGTATTCAATTTACTTCTATGGAAGTATGCTATACATGCGTGTCAAATAAAACTTCAAAAAAACTAGGAATAATTCTGGGAAAGATAGGAATGCCGAATAGTTATGTTAATTTGATGTTGGTTTGTAGTTGCGAACACTCATGATTAGTCATACAAAAGATCGCACTAATAAGCTTTTACCACAATTTCAATGTTCCAATGGCTGGTTACCTATCAGAGATGAAGCATACTCATTTTACATCATAAAGGCTCCATCTAGTGGCATATATATAGAAAAAGAAGACTGTATCTAGTGGCAAAAAAAGGTGCAACAAGTGCAGCATCTGATAAATTTGATGGACTAAAAGTTTCCAATATCAATGTGTTGCTAAATTGTTTTGTTCAAAGTCGCATGGCATTGGCATTGTGTTACGTGATCAATTTAATGAACAAAATAAAGGTATGAATTCCTTGTTAGCTTTGACGTCTACAAGCTTAAAGATGAGGAGGGTGAAACCACTAATCTAATCCTTAAGTCAGTACTGGTGAAAATATGGGAGTCAAGATCTTCACCCTTTGAAGCACATTTGATAATTTTTCTACTGCAAAAGGACCAAAAATAAAGTGCAAAATCGTTCACCACACTAACAATTGATGATAAAATTTTTCACCTATATGTGCTCTTAAAAAAAGTGCAATCTATTCTCCCAAAAATAATCCATCAAACCAACCATATATCTCAAAATAATAGTTAAGAGTTAGAGAAAGAGACCCAATGAAAAATCTTTCTTTCCTTTAAACATAGAGCGTCATTATAAAGAGCAAGAGAAGGATTCGGTAACCTTCATTTGTCAAGGATGACTCTAATGATACCAGGTAAGGACATAAAAATTATAGTTCAATGTTTTTAGTGTGTCCATACAATAACCGTAGATCATAATCTTATATTGTGTTATCTTTGCATATCCAATTTTTTTTACTCTTTTTTACACAAATTCGAAATATTCACGATTCTCTAACTTAACTAATTTTTGGCGATTCGTATTTTTGAACCGATTATTTGCCGCTAAGTTTTTGGAGAAAAACCAATTTATTACGGATGTTTTGGTTTACTTATATATTGGTATTCCCCGAGTGCTAACTCTGCGCTGGCAATCAATAATAATGGTCAGATATTATATTATTCATATGCAAAGCTAAACTTACTGATCATGAGGAAAGGTACTGCTAGTCACAAATTCTTTCCTCTATGCTGGTTTCATTATGCTTGTGGTTGTAGTCTATGGAATATTTGGGACTCTCTTGAGCCGTATCACTACGCCAATGAAATCTGTTAATGATTGTTATCATGATTGTCGGACTGCGTATTTGAGCCTGTATTTGAGTCTAACATGTTTCAGAGATTGCGTATCCTCTTGTTGTGCATTGAAACTGCATATTGAAAAAAAGGAAGTAAATGTATAAAATGAGGGTAACCAGAAACTATTTGAGACAATCTCTAATGCCTGGATGTATTCTTCTTGAAATATGGCATGCTTCTTTACAAATATCAGACTCTTAGCCCTGTTTGTCTTTACTACATCCTGTTAAATCCATTTGGTGTCTCCGTCCCCGGTCCCCATCTCTCTCTCTCTCTCCCTTTCTAGGGTGTAGGTCTCAGTTTGTGTACATTCAACAGTATCTTGATGTATAGCTTTCTCTTAATACTATATCTTGCTTAAATTGAAAAAGAAAGGGGGTAGAAGTAGTGAATGTCATGTCCTAATGAAGCCATGATTATCCCCAGAATAAGAGAGTGTCTCCTTAACATGCGGTATTTTTTTCCTGAAGGTACAGTTGCAAATATTTTTCATGGGTTTCTAATTACTCAGAAAATGAACGCCAGTTGGTTTCTGACATGTCACTATATATTACTCTTGCAGTGTAGTTCCTAGCATTTTAAACTGAAACCTTAATCTTGTTTCCGGACTTTTTAATATAGTAACAGTCACTGTGATCTTATTTTGAACAACTTTTAGTACATCTATCATTTTTATCATGATTTTGTTGCGAATATTAATATAGGTGGATAGAAGTATAGTTCTGAGTTCTGACATTTGTTGCAATGTAAATCTGTATGACACGATAAGGATAACCACTAGATTAGAACTTCTGAATGCCAATTATCATGGAGGATCCCTTTGAATTTTTCGTCTCCTGATACATTGTTTCTCGTTCAGTTTCTGAGTCACATATGCATTCTATTTTGATATGAAGAAAACAAAGTCATACTTCATTTTTGTAGAGTATATCACCTGCTCAAGCGAGGAGATTTGCAAAGTTCAAAGAGCGGAAGAGTCTTATTGAAAAAGATGTGGTACGTTTTACATTACTAATTGCAATGTTTTTTTTCCCCTCGTGCTTTCATGCATTTTATTGAAGTAAATTTGTCAGTATGTGAATGATAAGATCTTATAATCTTCTTTCGTTTTAATTTTGAAGGTAAGAACGGATAGATCTATTCCATTTTATGATGGAGATGAAAATCCGAATGTGGGACTCTTGAGGGACATATTGTTAACCTTCTCCTTTTACAACTTTGATCTTGGTTATTGTCAGGTAAGACTTGGTCAATTTTAGTACCTATGATTATATCCTCTGTTGATGGACAGAACTGTCATTTATCTTTTGTTTAGTCTTTACTTTTTTTGCCTTTAAATAAGGGCAATATTATCCATAAATTATAATCAGGGTTATTAGTTAATGTTATAAGAGGTGTAAAGGTCACAAGTGATTTTTGAGCCACTCACTTTCCCTCTCTATCTCACATTTCTCTTTCTCTCCCATCTTCTTCTTCATTATCATCTTTATTTTCTTTCTTCTCTTTCTCAACAATCGAGAATGTCTCTTCATGCATCAAATATGGAGTCATCTGGACCCCAAATTACCACAATCAGGTTTGATGGAAACAACTATTTAGAATGGGCCAGGTCGGTTAGACTATTTTTGGGTGGAAAGAAAAAGTTGGGATACATTGACGGCCGTGTGGAAAAACCTGACCTGAAGGATGTTAAATACGCAGACTGAGAGGCTGAAGATATGGCTATTATGAATTTAATACTATTTTCTATGTAGCCCAATATGAGTCGATCTTTTATGAACAACAATACCTCTAAGGAATTATGAGAGGCAGTCTTGGAGTACTATTCCCAAAAAGAAGAAAAAATTGCAAGAGTTTATGAATTGGAACAGCAAATTAGTGATTTTAAACAAGGTGACTTGTCACTGGTAGAATATTGTGCTCATCTACGTGGTCTTTGGGATGAATTAAGCCAATATCAGCCCATTCGGTGTCCTTCTTGTGCAAAGGAACAGAGAGAGAGACTGGAACAAAGGAAGATTTTTTATATTTTGAGGGGAGTTAATAGAGAGTATGAAACAATTAGGTTAATTGTTCTTGATGGCGAGACTTTGTCATCACGTAGTACTGTTTTCTCCATAGTTGTTGGGATTGGAAGAGGCAATGATACTAGGATCGGGAGCGGGGGATCATGAATTGTGAGAAGATCCCTATGGTTGGAAACGCCGTCCGTGCAATGCACATCATAGTGATCGAGATCCCAACCAGGGTTCGCAAAATTGAACTTGAACGGTTAACCGGACATGGGCCCAGAAGCCGATTAACCAACTTAACCGGTCGATTCAACCGTTCTAATCGGATTCCTGAGAGATCTGTTCTGGGAGTGGCATAATCGAGATTCTAGAAGGGATTGCCTACTAAAGTAGGAGATCCCGATATCTATGGTTTTCTCCTTTCTTCGGCATGAAAAAACTCGACACAAGATAATGACAATGTTTATGGGTGAAACTGAAAGATCTGCCTTATTCACAAGTTTTAATGATAATCAAGGTGGAGGACGTTTTGGGATCCATGGTAGAGGTCGAGGTGGTGGATGTGGCTGTGGAAACCTCTGAAAAGGACACATTAGTGGACTCATTGTGGGAAGACTCGACACACAAGGGAAACATATTGAAATCTGGTTGGACGCCCGAGGCAAAACTTTCCAAGGGCACATTTAGCAACAATCAGTGAAAGTACTGCCCCCTGTTACTCAAGGGCAGCAAGATACCATCTCCTTTGAACCTCAAGAAGAGTTGGTGACTATTGCTGAAAGAGATCTCCTAAATCTCAAGCACCAGGCTTCCATTCGAGACCCTTCTCACACCTCTAAGTCTCATATTGTACAATCAGATATATCCAATGTTCCAAAAAATGTTGGGCGGCGCCTAGGCAGCCAGGGGGTTCCATGCTGCTCAACGCCTAGGCGGGCAACTAGAACCTAGGTGGCCCAATAGAAAGAAAGGTGTTTTGAAGATTGGAAATCACAATTTGATCCTATGGAAGGGATCACCAAAATCTAGTTTTTTGTTGTTTTTCTCTCTAAAATGGGCTTTAATGGGGTTTAGGCTTGAAATGAACCTAAAACCCATCTTTTTCCCTCTTATTTCTCTAAATTCCCTCCTATGAAAAGAAAAATTATCTTCTTTGGTGGTGGTGACGGGCTCAAGTCAGAAATTAAGGATATTCTTCTTTTTGGGGAAGGAGGATTACCAGAGAAATAGTTGGGCCTGGCCCTCTTTCCCCTAAGGCACATCCACGGCAAAGACAATTGGTACAATTGGGACGTGGCATGCTTTAACGCTATCTTTTGCAGGTAGACTTCAGCTGATTAAGTTGGTCTTAAGTGCTTCCTCGATCTATTGGGCTCTATCCTTTCTCCTACCAGCTTGGACATGCAATGTCTTGGAGAGATGTCAATGGAACTTTCTTTGGGCAGGCACTTCAGATGTCCAGGGGCTACATCTTTTGATTTAGGAGTCTATTTTCCTTCCTTTTGAGGAGGGTGTGTTGGTTGTTTGGGGTCTCACCGCGGTTTACCAAACATTACGGTGGACATGAACTCCCAAAAATGGGACAAAAAACACGGGATTTGGAGGCACGAGATGCTCTCTTTTTTTACGAAGTGTTAAACGCCCCCGACTCGGTAAAATTTCGAGGTGCAAATGGTCCCGGAGAATACACTCCTACGATACAACCAGATTGGAAAATAATTCCTGAGTCCCTGAGTTGCACACTCATGAGACCGTATAAAACCACAGTCACAAAAAGACTTCAGAAATAGACTTCACTCTCTCAGAAATAGACTTCACTCTCTACACTACAAACATCAATCAGAAATAGACTTCACTCTCTCACTACAAAAGTTTTCATCCAATCGGTAAATGCTACAATAAATCATCGATTGGGAACATCCTCTCTCTCACTAAAATAAGTCTTCCAATCAGGTAATATAACAACAATTTTAACATCAATTGGGAAATAGAAGCACATAGATGATCAACCCACGTCTTAAAATAAATCATTAAATGTAACAATTCATGTTACCTGAAAATCTGTGAGGCTAGTGCTTCTCATGAGAGAGACATCAAAAACTCCTAAGGAGAGAGAGAGAGAGAGAGCACGCTCACTATAGAGAAAGCTTGTTGTTTCTTGTTATCAATAAGAAGCCCCTGAGGCATTAATCCGGTAGAGTGAGAGTGTGAGTCTCTTCATACAAAGGATGAGAGAGAGACTTTTGTAACACCTCAATAAGAGGTGTCAATGAAACATACGTGGGGGGTGCAAAGTTGCCACGTAGGAGGTAATTAAAAATAAAAGTTATTTTGAAACACTTTTCTTTGCAAAAAGCTAACAGAGTGGCCTTGGTATCTGGCATTTACAAGATGTCAACCTGGTAGGCATGATGAAGCTCGCTTGAAGGCTGGTTGCTAATCCCTCCTAGCTACTCTCTATATTTTTTCAGCACAAATATTTCAAAGATTCTTCCATTTGGTTATCTAAAAACCAGAATTCTTCTCATGCTTGGAAGGGCATCTACTTTGGTTTAATTAAACTCAGGCACAATGTTAAGTGGATTGTGGGCAATGGTAAGTCCATTCATTTTTTGGGAGATCCTTGGCTGTCAGAGGTCTCTATCAGGGAAGAATTCGGCTATGACATACACAAAAGCCTGGGATGACCTGCGAAAGCTCGCTTGGCTGATTTTCTCTCTACTAATCCCAAACAATGGTGTCTGCCTGATCCCATCACTGGGCCCTACATTTTGCGTAGACCCACCACTGGACCGCGGTCTTGGGCTTGGCAAGCAGTGAAGTCCTTTACTGTCCCTCTGCTGCCTTTTGATGATTTTTTGTGTGGACTTACTCCTTGGATGGGTCTTTTTCTATTAAGAGTGCTTGGAATCATATTAGAAACATGGCCCCCACTAAAGAGATCTTAAAATCCTTATGGGCTTCACATTCTCACCTCTGAGCCAAATCCAAAGGGGTGAGAATGTACTCTGAGCCAAATCCAAAGGGGTTATTACTAAACTTGCACTCCATATACTCTGTCTTAGTCCAACTAATTTTAAAACCTTTGGATTCTAGAGCGTCTCTCCAAGGTTAAAACTTTCTATTGATGTCATTTCGGGTCTCATCAATCAAAACTGTCATCTGCGAACAACATGCACCACAGTATGTTATAGTAAGATTAAATCAAAACCCTTATTCAAGTATAATAATAAAATCAATGTCGGTGCAAACTTCGTCTATTGGGTCGCCAAAAGTCCTCAAAATCAACTACTAGAAGCTCCAAAACACCCACGAACTATTGCCTTTGTTTTGGGAAGAAATTGAAAAAATCAAAAATTTATCTATCTTTCTATAAATAAATTTATCTATCTTTCGATGAGTTGTAAAAATTGTAAGAATGACAAAAAACTATCTATCTTTCGATAAATCACAAAAGAGAGGTTTTTGGGGATTTTTTCTCTCTGTAAAAGGCATGGTTTTGGTTTAGAATATCCCCCAAAACCCCTTTCCCTCCTTTATTTTTGAGAGGTTTTTTTTCAGCCATTTGACAAACTGTCACGAGGTGGTGCCTTGCCCGCCTAGGTGGGCACCTAGATGTAGGACGCCTAATAGTCCCACCTAACTAGCGCCTAGGCATTTTTGAAAATTTTCCACCTAAGTGACTGCTTAGGCTGTTGGGCGGGTGAATTTTTTAACATTGGCATCAATATTTGTGAGTTGGATCCAATTTCGGTTTAGATTGATAGTTTTGCGTAATATTTGGATCTCTTTGTTCTCCACAACAGTGTGGCTCCTTTGGACTCAAAGGACCTTGTGTATTTTCAAAGGACAGAGACCCAAAAGAGAGCAATTGCTGCACTGTATTACCTCTGTTGTTGTTGTGGGCCTGACAAAAGCGAAAGGATGAACGTTTCACCTATCAGAGAAACACTATTGACAATCTCAATGTTCAGTGGTGCCATGTGCACTCTAAAACTTCATTTATGGTCTTCACCTCTGGTGGGATTTTGAAGAATTCATTTGTGGGTTCTTGAGGTGCACATTTTGAAACGAACATAAAGGGTTATGAATGAATAGGCATTCTCATACTAGTAACTAGTTGGACATCTCCGATTCTCTCTCTCTTAGATGATGTTTTACACATTGATTCGTTTGTGATCAATTATTTTCTCTTGCTCAATAAACTTAGTAATTGTTAGTGAAATGGTGTTCTTTCTTGAGTTAAGTATTTATTAAGAGAGTAATTTATTGAGATTTATACTTTCAGTCATGGTTTATGGTAGTACCTTTTGGCAGTCAATATTATGCATGTTGCTAACTAGTAGATTCTGTCACGTTATATGATTGCAGGGCATGAGTGATCTTTTGTCCCCAATATTGTTTGTTATGGAGGATGAGTCTGAAGCATTTTGGTGTTTCGTTTCATTAATGGAACGCCTTGGGCCAAACTTCAACCGTGACCAGAATGGCATGCATTCTCAACTTTTGGCCCTATCCAAGGTATTCTAAAAGTTTTAGAACAGAAATGATCCATAGTGAGCTAAAGTCTTGTAATCTTTTCCTTCTATGATGGTAGGCATTCGTTGGCTGGAGGATATAAATGAAGGCTTTGTATCTAAGGCCTAGATCAGCAGCTTTATTATATTGGTTTCACTGTATTCTTAATTTTAATATTTAAGATTACACATTTAAAATCGGTGTCTCCAATTTATGGCCAAATTTAAAAATTGTAAGTTATGATGCTTATACTCTTTTGATTATAAACGTTTTGTGCGTGTTTGTATATATATGTATTCTTGTTTTCATAATCTATAATATATGATGGTTTTACAAATTTACATGGAATTTGAAATTCGCTGGAAGATGTTCCCTAATAATGAACTTAGGAAACGTTTTTTGCTATTTAGTATCTACTCTTGTCTTGGCATTCATGGGTGGGGGGGGGGGGGGGGGTTGGGTACAAATTAGGGTCCGGTTTGGATGGTCTAACTTTTGGGAACAGGTTGGTTCTTTTCCTCCAATCATTTAGCGGTGAAAAGTGGCCCCATCTTCGTCTGCTCCACTATTCAAGGTTAACAGACTTTTGCAACCCCAAGTGTGAACAAAAGCTGCCAAAACGACTTTGACCGTAAATATAACTCTTGTATATAAATATTTCCCTTGCTTTTTGGAGTTGTTGGCCTGTCCAAATGGAGCCTAAGCTGATCGTTCTGTTAAATGTCTGATCTTTTATTTGTCGAATTGGTTTTACATATTTGTCCCTTCTGCTGCATCATGGCATCGTTTATTAGTTGCTTGTTAACCAGATTGCAATTCCTAAGACCTTAAATGCCTTCTTGTCATATCCACTGAAAATGGATCAGCTCTTTTGTTTATAAGGCATTCATGATGGTTCACTTTTTGTGCTCTTATTGTAATCTTGTGAGATTTTTTATAGTTTTCTTTTTCACGTTTCTGTGCTTTATATTGGTGATGATATAGACTGATAAAATACACTGAAGTGGGTTCAACCAAGTTGAGACATTTGTGGAGACCCAAATATGACTTGAAAAAACATACAGCCTGAGATGCCAAAGCCAGTCACAGGTAATGCTGTGAGTGTAAGATGCATTTAGTGCATTCCAACGAAACATGGCTAGGAATGTGTTGGCATCAGTGTTTTAAAAAACGCCGAGTCGAACCGGACTCGCCCGGTTCGACTCGGAAATCGTGAAAAGGGGACCGGATCGCTTAAAAAATCGGAAATCGTCCGGTTCTAGAGAGAACCGGACGATTCTGTACAGTGAATCGCCGATTCACTGTACGGAATCGGCGAGTCCGAACAGTGAATCGGCAAGTCCGTTTACGGTTTTTTTTTTTTTTTTTTTTTTTTTTTTTTTTTTGTAATCCGTTGATAGA